CTGTAGGGGTCTGCAGAATGTTTATTGAGAATTTTGCAAAGAAAGCAGAACCTCTCAACGATTTATGCAAAAAGGGAGCTCCTTTTGTATGGGGACCGGCACAAGAAAAGTCTATGGACGAATTGAAATCCTCACTTCGCGAAAGTAAAGCACTCGTGCCGTTGGATTATGAAAATAATCCTAACCCAGTGGTACTAGCTGTAGACACCTCTTGGAAAGCGGTTGGGTTCTACATATATCAGGATAGCCATACGACTGGGCTTAGGCAGTATGCCAGGTTTGGTTCTATAACTTTGAATGATAGAGAAGCTCGATTTTCTCAACCAAAAAGAGAATTATTTGGTTTAATGCAATCTTTACAGGCTGCATCATATTGGCTTCTAGGATGTCGAAAACTAATTGTGGAAACAGACGCGAAATACCTGTCTGGTATGCTTCGAAACCCTGAAATGGGACCAAATGCAACCATCAACAGATGGATTGACGCATGTCTAATGTTCCATTTTAAGTTACAGCATGTCCAAGGAAAGACCTTTGGCGCAGATGGATTATTGCGCAGAGACGCTCAACCAGGTGACGATGTGTATCCACCTTCAGATGAACATCTCGACGAACCCGTTGGTGTCATTGAAGTGTTACCAGATCCAGATGGAGGGGAGCCCCCTTTGGATTTCGAAACCTTCAAAGATCAAATTGACTCGAGGGGGGGATATATCCAACAATTGGCTCTAGACATCTCAGATTTTCAGGATGAACTAGACAGGGAAATAGCAATGACACAGAAAATAGCTAAAGATGTGAAAACAAGGGTGGACAATGATCCAGATCATACAAAAAGCAGCCCAGAACAGAAGGAATTTCTTCGAACTTACATGATTTCGACTTTAACTTCACCAGGCCTGGAGGCCAGGTTTGACGAACTAGAAAGAGAGCAACCTTACCCGGAAACTCATAGGTCATTCATTGGACAGTCACAGGATGAATTCCTTCTTATACTAAGAGAATGGCTGAAAAATCCTAAAAAGATCGAAGGATATTCTGATTAAAAGTATGGCACTTTCGTAAGATTTGCAAAAAGTTTCTTCCTAGACAAAGAGGATAGATTATATCGTCGAAGCATTGAATCACATCACAAGCTAGTGGTCGACAAGTCTCACCGAATGTACATGATGAGATCTGCACACGATGCTATGGGACATAGGGGAGCATATGCAATGCAGAATATGTTAACGGAGCGTTTTTGGTGGCCTGAAATCAAAAGAGACGTACATTGGTATGTAAAAACATGCCAGCGTTGTCAGGAACGAACCAAACGTGTGGTGGAAATCCCACCCACCGTGACACATACACCATCTATTTTCCAACGACTACACACTGATACCGTACACATGACTCCGAAATCAAATGGATGTAAGTACATCGTCCATGGGAGGTGTGCACTGTCAAGCTGGGTTGAAGGAAAACCCCTAAAAAGTGAAACTGCAAGAACTGTCGGCTTATGGCTTTTTGAAGAAGTCATCTGCAGATGGGGTTGTCTAGAAGTAATAATAACTGACAATGGTTCGGTTTTCCTTGCTGCTGTAAAATGGCTCGAAGAAAAATACAGGATAAAGGGTATTAGGATATCTCCGTATAATTCTAAGGCAAATGGCAGAATCGAAAGGCCCCATTGGGATATTATACAAATGCTCACAAAGTGCTGTGGACCCAAGAACCTTGCCAAGTGGTATTGGTTCTTTTGGCAAGTACTTTGGGCTGACAGGATCATGATTAGAAAAAGATTTGGTTGTTCGCCGTTCTTTATGGTAACAGGCGCGCATCCAATATTACCTCTCGACGTACAGGAGGCTACCTGGTTAGTAAAATTACCAGATCGTATGTTGTCCACTGCAGAATTGATTGGCTATAGAGCCAAAGCATTAGCAAAACACAGGCAGCATGTGGCGGAAATGCGCGAGAGGGTCACCTTGGAAAAAATGAAAAGAGTGGCAAAATATGAACTAAGCCACCGCCATAAAATCAGTGGTCAAATGTATAAACCCGGAGACCTGGTGCTTATCAGAAATTCACAGGTATCCTTGTCATTAAATAGTAAAATGCAACCAAGATACCTGGGACCTATGATTGTGGTACGTTGAACAAAGGGAGGTTCATATATAGTTTGTGAACTAGACGGATCTGTCAATCACAATAAAATTGGAGCGTTCAGAGTCATTCCGTATTTCGCAAGAGAAAGGATCGACTTACCTGAGCACTTCAGTACACTTATTGATGCAAGCAATGAGGAACTGGATGAATTCGAAAACACAGGCGTTGAAGAAAGACCTAACGCAAGAGATTACTACTTTGAAGGAGTTAATCTTGATGGGTCTTCCGCAGATGAATCCGGGGACTTAGAAGAAATCGAAGATTTAAGTGAAGAAGAGGCTTAGTAGACTTATGCTTTAAAATTGGCTAAAGTTTAATAAAGCCTCCAGCAGTTTATAAACATAATGCGCAAGCGCCTTCTAGATTTTCCATGCGTAGTCAACTATACATGCGGGCTCTAGGTGTCCGTCTACGAAAAAAAAAATTCGGATAGTTCTACTACTCCTTAGTTACTTCACGCTCAGCAATCTGGGCAAGGGCAATTTCGTAATCGGCGACAAGTACGTCGCGAAGACGAAGCTCCAAGTCGAGGCGCTGCATGCTGAGAAGAACGCGTTCACGAAGATCGACCTCTTGCTGCTTGAAATAAGCAAGGGTGGGATAAGCCGGCATGCGGTTGGTAACAGCAGCATGTGCGCGCACTAAGATCTCCCGTACAGAGGGTTGTCGATGAGCAAGGAGTTGGCAGACTCGTCTATAACAAAGGACGAGCGCATTAGTTTACGGTTTATGGAGATAAAAGATAAATACGAACTTTGACGAGACTGAAGATCTGCTAAACCACTAATAAAGGGCGGTTCAGTACGAGGGCGTTTGTCGCCGGCGCAACTGCCTTTGGCATGCTCGACGACGAGGGCCTTGTGAAATTCGCGACTGTTAGTGTCCATGCCTGGAACAGCGTCGTAGGGAATGCTGACCGTTTCGGCATGCTTGGATTTGGCTGGGGTCTGTTATGTCCGAATAAAATATGAAGTTAACAACGTGGCAGTGGACTCACGCAATAATAGCAGCTTACCTTGGGACCAGAGGCAGTGCGCTTCTTGCCTTTCTCTTTGGGAGAGGAAGCAGCGTCCTTGACTTCTTCGTCACCAAAGAGGTTGTCCACTGCCATCTGAGCAAAGCGGTACGCAATATTAAAATTGTGTTCTGCTCGAAAGAAAATTAAAAAAATAACGCACGGTGTCAGCTGCAGTGATAGCGTTGGGGCCATCACACCCACCCATCATAACGTCGGTATCCGAGGGGCCGGGGACAATCTCGACCTCGTTGTCCTTGTCCTCGACGACAGCCTTGGACTTGACAAGCTTGCGGGGACGCTGTTTCAAAATGTATCCGCGCTGCGTTAATAAAATGAGAAAAGATGAACAAAATAAGTATAAACGTGCCTTGGCTTTAGCGGCGGCCATTACCTCTGCAATCTCAGCCTGAGCCTGAGCTTGAGCAGTAACAGGTGGTGGAACGACCTGCGCAGTGGCGCACGCAGCGAGAACGGCGCGACAATATTCTTTGATAGTGTCAAGGTTGGCTGGGGGCGCGATGGCGTGAACTCCAGTGCTGCGGGTATTGTACTCGCCTCTAACAAGGAAAAGCACATTGTGCATTGGCTGGTGCATAAGCAGACACGGATCCTTGGTGTCGATAAGCTGAACCTAGTCAAGTGCGCAGTATTAGCCTTTGTTCGAAGAAATAGAGAATACGAAGTTTATAACAGAAAAATTCGCGACTTACACAGTAATTAGCGGCTACGCCAAGAATGGTGGGAGCGGCAGCGCTGTTCAGTCCCTCTTTCATGTCCTGATAAGTTTTGAAGGCAGTGAGAGCGGACTCGCGAAGCTTGACAGCGGCGGGAAGAGCGTTTTGTGGGATAGACATAATGAGCGAGTGGTAAAATGAGAGTGCGTGGTAGAAAAGCAAAAAACTGTTCTGTCCAAAAAAATTTCGCCACTGCCTGCTTTTATATGTGTGTCTGAGACCAAGGTGTGCGCGTTCCGAAATTCCGCGTTGCAATTCACTTGAAGCGTGAAAATTTGGAGTTGCGTGTTCCAGCGCGATCACGTCTAAAAATAGAATAAACTTTCCAAGCCTTGGATTTCCCACGCCACGTGACCTATGAACTTAGTCGTTTTGACTGAGGACAGTCAATATTTAGTGAGGGGGAGGGATCAAGGCTACCTTGATAGATAAAAAATTCGATTTAATGATTCACTAAAACCACCAAGGGGAAAAGAGTCATAAAAACGCGAACTAGAGACAATAAAACCCTAAGGCAGAATGAATTTGATAGAAAAATGCGAAATAAAGTCGAAAATTCACAAGTTCACACTCTGGAAAGCATGCAAAAAGGCTCTCACTTAGGAACAAATCTCAAAGTTCAAGAAAGACAAAGTCAAGATTCTACTATAAGGACAGCAGAATCTAACTACAAAAGATAATGACACAAAAAGATTGATATAAGAAAGTCCAAAAAACTAAGATGTCCGAATGCATGCCAAGTAAAAGAGTCCGTAAAAACAAGTGCACCTACTCCTCGTCAACAAGCTCGTCGATAACCTCCTCCTCCTCCTCCTGAGAATGGGCGGAAGGTGGAAGACCAGGCGAAGCAATGGCGATAGAAGGAATAAGGGACAGCAAGCGGATGCGGCGTTGATGAGGTGTCAGAGATGAAGGCCCAGCAATGGGAGGAGAATTGTCTTGCTGAAAAAGCGAGACAAGTCTCTCCAAATCGGCCGTCGTTGAACCCACAGGCACTGGGACCCCCTGAGTATCTACAAAGTCTTGAATGAAGCTGTACCACGAGCCGAACTCCTCGCGAGTCTTGAAAACAGTGCCTAGAAGAGTTCCAGGCTCGGCGGTGAGACACAGGTCCGTGATGGCGTTTGCGAACTCTCGAAGATTGGCGTCGCAACGATGGCGAATGGCCTCAAGGACCACGGATAGGGTGCGCATATGAAGCACGTCTTCTTCGATGGACTCCATCAACGCAGATATAGCTAGAAAAATAAGTGAAAAGTCGTTAAAAAGACTATAAAATAAATAGAAAAAGAAAAAAAAAAAAAAATCATACCTGAAGGTGCATGAATAGCCAACCGGTTACAGATGACATCCCTGACGGCCCCTCGGCGTTCATCATTCAGATAGTACTCACACGAAGAAACATGCGCCACGTCGCAAGGACCGCAGGGAGTGCCCCACCCACGAAAGGTGCAGTTCTTGACAGCAGAATCCTTGCGCGTGGAGCACTGAAGGCAAGGTTCGGGCATCTAATAAAACAGGTATCAGTACCTATGAAAACTCAGACAAAAATGAGAGGAGGAGACATACGTGGATTTGTGTACCCTTAAGAACCGCGGGGAGCTCTTTAAGCCCAAATCTAGCGGTGGTACGTTCTAAAAAGAAAGTCAGCAGGGTAAACAAAATACTAGTAAAAGAACGACTTACTAAATTGCTTCTTGTCGAACACGATGGGCTCTTGGAAGATAACGGGAGCTGGAAAAAACCCGAATTATAAAGTTTAAAAAGCAAATTGAGAAAGAGAAAAAGCTTACACTTCTTACAAGGGCAACTGCGACGCTTGGGTTGAACAGAAGTTTCCTTCTGCTTGACCACCGGTGGCTTAACGGCAGTACGCTTGGCGGAACTACGAGTAGTAGGAGGAGTCCTCGCCCGAGCCTTTCCCTTGTCAACTTGAGATGAACCTGCAACAGGCGGAGGCATCTTGGCGCGAGCCTTGCCCTTGTCTGCATGCAAAGGCCTAGCAAGAGGCACAGAGTCCGACGAGCTCGAACGGGAACGGTTGGGATGTTGGATGGCCTCGTCGTCAGACGAGGGTTTCTCAATAATCTTGCGTCGTTTACCTGGCTAAGAAACCAAAAGAGTTAGTAAAAATGTCTAAGCAGAGGAAAATGAAGAAACTTACAGGGCCAATAGCCAGCTTCAAGGGCGTTGTAGACGGAGGATCAATGATCTCGACCACATCCGAATCTTCGTCCATGACCATGGCACGAGTACGCTTCGACCTTCGAACAGGGACAGGCGGCGTTGAGTCAGGCGAGGAAACTGGCAGGGACTCTGGACCAGGGCTTGGTAGAAACAATGGATCGGATCCCATAGGAGAAGGGGACTGAACGACACGAGCTCGACCTCGGGGAGTAATGATCCCCGGAGGTGACGAAGACCTGCAGTCGCTCGGCGCGTCCTCCTCTCCTATGTACCCTGTGGTAAAGCTGGAGTCTAGGCATTCGCCCTAGAAAGATAAAAATCATTAGAAGAAAAATAAAAAGAAAGAACGGAAGAAAGTTACTTACAGGGCTATAAAGCGCACGACCATCCAATGGTTCTTGCAGCCATTCCTCCCAGGCAGTACTTCGGTTGCGTTCTTCAACGCGTTGGGCGGCATTGTAAACGGACGCCAGTAAACGAGACTCGTGTGGCATAGGACCACCAGGACGAGCGAGGATGTCTGAAAACAATGCTAACTAAGGCAATAAAAAAGTCGAAAATCAGCAGAGAATAAAAGAAAAGAACAGAGACTCACCATATAACTATGCAGGCGGTATAGCGTACCCATAATCTCAGCCTCAGACATAGCGTTGAGGCAGGAACACGAGAAGAGGTCAATGCCGACTTCGAACGCTTGAACGGCGGCGCGACAACCAAGGAATGCAGTAGGCATGGTGGGGAAAGTTAGAAAGAAATTGTGACAATCGCTCCCATAAAGCACGAAGTTTATAGGAACGTCAGGCAGAACATACGGAATAGCGAGGCACTTTCCGAAGAATAGTCTACAGGAGAAGATCGCTGAGAATCCCTCGGTTCCGTCGACCCTGAAAATCTTAATGGACGCCAAAAACGTTAATCAACTGAGGCGTACCTAGGCAACAATAGGAATATGATGTCATGTCTTCGAAGAATAACGCGCCTGCACTAGTAATAGTAATTGACGCCGAAAGATAAAAGACACGCTTGACAGACGGTGATCTTTTGAAGACATATCAATATAAAATCCAGAAAAACACGAGGGGAACGTCCTCATACGGGGATCTAGTGATCACCGAGGACAGTCAGTATTATAGTGAGGGGGAGATGATACGGAGTGTAACAATACACCCGTAAAAATGCGAATTTTAGCGATTTCTCCTATAAAACCTCCTATAGTAGAAATACAGTCACATTGATCATAAGGATTGTTAGACGCAACCCGGTCTAGTCGATTAAAGTCTACATCCGAGAAATGTGCACGCCTTAGACAGTAGGAATTGCGGTCGGTTTGTGACCAAATCACCTCAATATACTCGAAGTCTAATAAAGGGCTACACTACCATGAAATAGTACGCTACCGAGTGTTCTAGAGTAAAAACACCCCCGCACAGGGTGTTGGAGTTTACCCAAACCAGGGTCTCACTTTATTATGGATTAAAAGATATTAATTCTAAAGATAAACGCGCGAGCGTAGAAACTCGATGCGTACCTGACGCAAGAAGTCATTCAGTCACGTGCTACGAAGCATGATCCAAGAAGTCATGTGGAGAGACGCATCACGTGCATCACAAATCATGGCATCATTGACCCAAGAAAACTAAGCTTCGTGAAATATTCCGAAGCCTGCCAAAAGAGAAAAACTATGAACGATCTGCCGTGCGGTCCGAGGCCCGGGCATAGTATCTAATAATAGGGAGAAAAATCACTAAGTGGACCGTTCGTCTCGGCTGAACCGATCGTGAAAAACCATTTACGGCGATTCCCGCGTACGCATCAATACTGATGCGTCGCGTTGCCACAATAGAGAAAACACTACGAAAACTTAAAAGAAGTCAGCTCAGTTGTGCCACACACAACCAAGCCACTTCAAACCTTTACTAAAAATCAGTATTAATTCGTCCGACCTCTCGGACAATGCATGGACATGTAAATATAAATAGAAGACATAGAATAGTATAAAAAGAGGACGCGCGCAGGCTGAAACGCAAGGAATTATCCCCCGCATTGACCAGCTGTCGCACTCCCAGTAGCATCTGAGGTAGTGGATAAGTTTGTAATCAATTTAAGGACTTTTCTTCGCAGACATAAGTAACGTGTGCCCGGAACCAGTGTGTTAAGTGGGGATCACAAAGCTTTTGTAAGGTTGTCTCGTCAATTAGTAAGAGAGCTCTCTACTATTACCGAGGAATCCAAGTGAGCGTGCTTGAAGAGTCTTTAAGACTAGTTTGGACCGCATCAGAGGCATAATAAAAGCTCAAGGGAGTTATAAAAGTCTACAAAGCACAATTTCCTTGTCATTTCTTCGTATACAGTTAGAACGCAATCCCAGAACACCGAGACAGTCCCAATAAAAGCCATTTCCCTTCGAAGACTACTAAGTTTTGAATTCTATACTGTGTCCGCACGTAAAACAATACCTTTTGTTCCAAAAAGGTCTACTAGACTTAGACAAGTGATATAAAATATACAAAAAACGTTTCCCCGAACTTCTACTTAAGTTCTAACAAAACAAGTGTGGTAATTCTGTTTACCGTACAAACCCGAACTCGAAGTACCGAGCACGTACCTGTGGTGATAAGTGTTTAAGGTGTTTGTGTGTGTGTGTGTTGTTTAGGTGTTCACGCATCTTGTCAGCGCGTCCGATTACACTTTTCTCACTCCCGCATGACACAGTCTTCTCAGGGTTCTTTGTTGATTCTGTGGAAGGCGAGCCTGAAACGGGACCTACGACAGGACAGGGAGTAAAGAGGAAGACATTGGCGGGGATATTGAGCGAGGCGCTGTGTTCGCGCGCCAGGAGAGTTTCGGAGCGGAGGTGCACGTCCATCCCCATTCTGTGGTGGACGACACGGGAGGCGGGGAGTGTGTGTTTATCCTCGACGCCGCCGATTATG